GGGGTGTTTAAACAACTACATTGATGAAATGAAAGAGCCTCAAACGTACAATTTGTTGTCCAATAGCTGCAATATTTGTCTAACTGTAGAGTGTCCTCTGTGTGTTGCTCTATGTGGGCGGAGCAATACAGAAGAGTGAGGAGGCTGTACAAATAGTGTTATTGCAGAATATCAAACTGCTGTCAGCCAATCAGATTCAAGAACCAGACAGAACTGTTATATGTATATTTATATGTATATGTAAATGTGTATATATATATAGTTGAAGTCAGAAATATTAAACCCCCTGAATTATTAGCCCCCACCTGTTTATTTTTTCCCCAATTTCTGTTTAATGGAGAGTTTTTTTTCAACACATTTCTAAACATAATAGTTTTAATAACTAATTTCTAATAACTGATTTGTTTTATGTTTGCCATGATGACAGTAAATAATATTTGACTTGATATTTTTCAAGACACTTCTATACAGCTTAAAGTGACATTTAAAGGCTTAACTAGGTTAATTAGGGTAACTAGGCAGGTTAGGGTAATTAGGCAAGTTATTGTATAATGATGGTTTGTTTTGTAGACTATTGAAAAAATATATAGCTTAAAGGGGCTAATAATTTTGACCTTAAAATGGTGTTTAAAAAATTAAAAACTGCTTTTATTCTTGCTGACATTAAAAAACAAGACTTTCTCCAGAAGAAAAAATATTATCAGACATACTGTGAAAATTTCCTTGCTCTGTTAAACATCATTTGTGAAATATTTAAAAAAGAGATAAAATTCAAAGGGGATGAAACCCCTGAATTGTGTGTGTGTGTGTATATATATATATATATATATATATATATATATACATACATTTTTTAATATATATAAATTACTTAACTTTCATATTGTGTAATATTTATTTCAAACTTAAAAGTTTGCAATAATACTAGGTAAATATAACTGAGTGTCATCCATGCGGAATTCAATACAAAACATCCAGAAACACAATATGAAATATGTATTTTTCTTGTGCCGCTAGAGAAGACCAGGCTGCCCTGTACCCTCCTACATTTAGATGAATGTAAATCAGTGTCTATTCAGGCCGCATTTACACAGACCTCAGGGACTGCATGTGGTTTTGTGATGCAGGTTCTGGGCCGTTTCCTGCAGTTCTGGACCTGTGGGGGGGGCAGGGGGGTCGAGTCGAGTATCGCTCTGCTCTTCTGGCGTCTCATGGCTACGTCTCGCTGGCCCTCGAATACGTCGGACTGTTGAACGCTGCAGGTGAACTCCAGCATGCCGACAACAGTTATTTTGAGGTAAAACATTGAATATAAAAACAGTCATAAATATATATATTACAAGTAAAGTCAGAATTATTAGCCATCCTGAATATTTTTTCCCTAATTCCTGTTTCATGGAAAGAACACATTTCTAAGCATAATAGTTTTAAAAACTCATTTCTAATAGCTGATTTATTTGATCTTTGCCATGATGACAGTAAATAATATTTTACTAGTTATTTACAAGACACTAGCATTCAGCTTAAAGTGACATTTAAAGGCTTAATTGGGTTCATTAGGTTAACTAGGTAAGTTAGGGTAATTAGGCAAGTCATTGTATAACGGAGACTATCGAAAAAAAATGTTTAGCTTAAATGGATTTATAATTTTGACCTTAAAATAAAATAAAATAAAATAAAATAAAATTAAATTAAATTAAATTAAATTAAATTAAATTAAATTAAATTAAATTAAATTAAATTAAATTAAATTAAATTAAATAAATAAATAAACAGTGCTTTTATTCGGCCTGAAATAAAACAAATAAGACATTTTCCTGAAAGATTATATGCTTTTTAGTTCAATTGCATTTACATTGAATGAACTCTTATGTGATCAATTCTGTGTATGTTGGGGTGACCTGTGCATCAACCCCCACAAACTGATAGATGTGACCCTTTTGTCATGGGTGTGCGCCCTTTGAGGTCCCGTTTACACTAATGTGTTTTAGTTTGAAAACGGATAAGTTTTGCTACGGTTACAGCATCCGTCCACACTACGCCAAAGTTTATGAGCGCCAAAAACGGAGCATTTTTGAAAAACGCTGGAGAGGCCGTTTTCATTCTGAAACGCTGCTGCTCTGTCTCAGTGTGGATGGGGGAAAACGGAGACATCTGAAAACGGAGGCGGGGCTGCAGACATTCGCCTCTCTGATTGGGGCTTTTCCTCAATATTAAGTAGCCTAACGTTACACACAGTTCAGTCTCACATCCTCTCCTTGTAAGTTCAGACTTCGCAAGTTTGATATGGAAAACAGACTCCCGAGGACATGTCGGTAAATCTTCAAAGGCTACAGTGTACTGTGTAACCTCATTCACATCACCCTAGCTACGTTGTTTCACTTTCTTAACAATAAAATGAAAACATGAAGGAACTGCTATCTTCATTTTGATATTAACAACTTAACAGACGGCAGAAATGTTGAGGCGTTGTGCTGCAAATATGAGCGTCATCTTCACTGTGTGCATGTTCATAATAAAACAGAGCCTTTCATTGTCATTGAAAAAACGAAACTTACCCTCTCTTCTGCTGAATATCAGTTTTAATAATCGATAATGGCCATTATAAAAGTATAACGTACAATAAGTTTATACATTATAGGAAATAAAGGCAAGAAATTACTCAATATACAGGATGTACGTGGTTACATTAGTTATTAATTTATCTTTGCGCTCAGCCAAAACACGTTACCCGAGAACAAGTAATAGATTCCAATGCCCAAAGTCAGGGAATATGTTGTTAGATATAGACAACAAGATTAATTAAATATCATGTTTAACAAATATAGTAAGATTAGATCCAGCGGGAGATGCTTGATGAGCACTCCGACAAGCACAGCTCTCATCTGGTTAGATTTGCTACAGCGCATGCCAGAGTGTGTGTGTGGTTACGTGATGTGCGTTTTCAGTGTTTTGGTGAGGACTGAGAGCTGTTCAGAAACGCTGGGTGAAACGCGAGTGTGGACGCGGATCGTTTTCAGTCTAAAATGCTGTTTTAAAACTAAAACGCACTAGTGTAAACTGGTTCTCAATTGGTATAAGCCAAACGACAGCTGAAACATCTGATAAGAGGGTCCTGCTGAGCCTCGTAAACACAGAATGGTTTATTTGACGCTAGTATAAAGTACTGTCTCACAGACAGTACTTTGGGTTAAGTCACTTGAAGACAGACGGGTTAACATCACTGCTGAGGAATTGCACTATTCATTGTCTTCCATAAAGTCTTGTCCCCGTAAGAACTTTGGTCAGCTTACTTATTTTATGTATAAGAGTAATCTAATACATTGGCGAGCCACCCAAGAAATATTAAGCCAAATACAGCGAAATCTAACACTCCAGAAGAAAAAATATTAAAGGAAATACTGTAAAAATTTCCTTTAGAAAAATTAATTTTGACTTCAACTATATATGTGAAAAATAATAAATATTTGCTAAGTAATATATTCATAATGGCATTTTGCTATATTTATATAATTACATTTGCAATGTTGTTTATTTTATTATTAATTATACTTAATTTTATTTATGTAACTATAAGTACAGTTATTATCTATACTTGTGTTAGACCCATATATGGACTACAGCAAAATCTAGTCAGTTTTTTTTGTATATTTTTTTATAGTTTATATTATAATATATATATATATATATATATATATATATATATATATATATATATATATATATATATATATATATATATATTTACACTTATTTACACTGTCATTACATTGCTGTTTAGCAAAGAGAAAATTCTAAGAAATAAGACACTTATTTAGGAATTTGTAGTGTTTTAATTGTATTATAGTGTACAAATATTGCATGAAATAAAACAGATACACTACCAGTCAAAAGTTTGGAATCCTTTTTTTTTCCTTTTTCTTTTTTTTTTTTTAAGAAAAAGCTTCTGTTCATCAAGGCGGCATTTTATTAAATGTAAAAAAAAGTTCAATTGTTAAATACCTATTTATGAAATATTTAGTTATTATTTATTGTATGTAGTTTCAAATGAAATTATTAGTCCAGTCATCATTGCTTTTATTACTGTTACAATTAATAATAATAATAATAATAAATATAATAATAATAATAATTATTATTATTATTATTATTATTTTTATTATTATTATAATAGAGTGATTTCTGAAGGGTCATATAACTAGAGTAATGAAGCTGAAAATTTATCTTTAAAATCACTGTAATAAGCTATTAAATTATAAACTACTTGTGAACAGTTATTTTATAGAGTAAAATACACAAAATCTCACAATTTTACAATTTGTACTGTATTTTTGATGAAATAAATGCAGCCTTGGTGAGCAGGAGAAGCTTATTTTAAAACATTTAAAAATCCTACTGACCCCAAACTTTTGACCGGAAGTGTATATCAATAATAATGATTATAGAAATATGTATATAGCATGTTGTTCATGTTTCCATAGTAATTGTGCACTGTAAACTGTAAATATGAAGTATTAAAACTAGATTTCATCACTGTAAAAATTGAGCAGCAGAATCACCATATTAGAATGATTTTTAAGAAAAACAAAAGATAATTTTTTTTTGTTTGTTTTGTCATTTTTTTGCTTGGTCATTTTATACATTTTTAACTAAATTTGCCAATATTTTAGCATACATCACGGAAATACATTTTGCATCTGCAATTAGAATTTGAATATGCAAAATACTTAAGTACTGAGCTAATTAAGCTTTTGGAATATTTGCTAATTCATTTGGTAATGGAAATTATTTAAACAACTAATGCTAAATTAATGAAATCAATAATGCTAAAATTTACAAAATGTTATTTAAATTAGTCACAAATTGAATGTGAACAATATTTATGAATTTGAATATATAATACATCATTACATTATAAAGGTGAATATACTGTACAGTATAATATACACCTCATAAGTGTTTAAACATGTCAAATCATTTTTAGGCTGCCTTCACATTCCTACAAAAACACCCCAGAGTTTGTCCTGATAAAGTGGCTGTGATGGGGATGTCATTTGGGGTCTCTGTGACACTGGGTTTGACTGCATACTCAGAAATCGTAGAGGTAAATACAGCACAAGCTTTCATTTTCTTTATCACACTACATTTCACTGCTTTTTCAGTGGCCTTGGATCCGGAAGTATTTTTGTCATTAACTTATTTTTTTCACATGTGGCATTTTATTTCATAAAAGTCTCTTTTAAAGCTTTATGAAATTTATTTGAAGTGCTGAAGTATTTGAAAATTGAAAAGTTCAAGGCACAAGACTGAAGTTATTCCAGCTTTAGTGAAAAAAAAACTGCATCAGACCTTGTAAATGACAGTCAATAAAAAAGAGGGAATAATAATCATAATAACTATTTATCTGAATTTGTTGCTTATATCTTTAGAAGGGATAATTTGCCTAAAAATTAAATATTGTTTCAAAATTATTTGATGTCCTTACTCCATACTGTATTTAAAATCTCTGTCTGTACTCTTAAATATTGCACTACTTGAGGAAGCAGCCATTCCTAGTGGTGTCTAAAACCATTGGCTGCATCCTAAATCGCATAATTCCATACTAAATAGTATGCTTAAAACATTATGCGAGCCGAGAAGTATGTCCGAATTCATTGAATTCGAAAAAACACTATGCGAGAAGTATCCAGATGACCTACTTCTTTCGCTGATATTCTGAAGTGTGCATCCGATGCATGCTACGCTATCCCCTGTATTCATGAATGTGAAGCGACGCAACTCATGCGGGTTGATCACATGATCGAGACAAATGATAATGTAGTAAGTCGGAATTTTTTATTCATACTGCTCACATTCATGCTGTATAGAGCATACTATTCTAACGGCTCGAGGATCCCTTGAGCTCAGGGCTCTCTCCCGGGAAAGCATGCCAAACAAGCTTTGATAGATCATCAGCTAAGTGTGAAGTCTTGAAAAACATATACTTTCAATTAACAACCTTGGCAATTATAACAGGTCTGCCTTTAAAATTCGAGCAGTTATTGTTAAAAATCTGAGAAAATAAACTGTTTTTATGTTCATAACCCAACTATTGACCTTATTCTAAAATGCGGAAGTGCGCCTGTTTTCGCGATTGTCTTAGAACTTCCGATTCGGTCACCTATGGGAGAAATGACTAGAAATAATAAACGGCAGAAAACGGTCAAACTACTTGCTCTACAAACAAATGTTTGCATGACTATACAGACCAAGTAGAATAATACAATAAGAAAATATCAAACTGCCACATCAAGCAGCGTAATGAGCAGTATTTAAAATCAAAAAATGAATGGAAGTGAATGAGACCGGAAGTCTCAAGCCAAAAAGACTCAAATGGCAGCGCCCGCTCGTCGGCGGAGAATAAGGTGAATAGGGTATCCGCTTGTTAAGTGGTGACGTGTTGGTGACGTATGTAATCCTGTTTCCGGGTCCAAGCTGCCACTCATTTGAGTTGATAAATCATTTGTTTATGATCACTTTTTTTTCATATCACACATTCAAGTTAATTTTATATAAAGTCATACTGTACACAACAATCTCTGGTCTTGCTGCATCACAAATACCAAAAGTTTAACATTTATAAAAAAGTAATCACTTTCTGGCCATTGTATATTAGGCATGGACATATATACTGCGATCGTGATTTTCGAAAGTATTAAATCGCTTTGTAAACGTTTATTATTACCATTTCATGAGTCTCCCCATACAGTTGAATAGAGCGCTTGGACCCGGAAGCCGCTTCGCATGATGTCACACTTAACAAGCGGATATGCCGAGGCATGCTAATAAGACTTTTAATTTGCCCGTAACCTGGGTTAATCGTTTGCGATGATATGTATGCCAATGCAAAATCGGCGTGTTTAAGGTCAGTTTTCTTTAAAAATCAGCGATCTCCACTGGCTGAGTGATATCCGATGTAAAGTGGGTCTCAGAATGTACAAGAAGCACTGTATTAAATGACATTTTCCCTGCCATGTCTTAATAATATGAGTATTTATTTTACCCCAGTATATTCAATGGTGCTTCTGCACTAGCCTGCCGAATCTGACTGGTGCGTGCGAGTAAACGGCATCTTGTCTCGTTTTACGCTTGAGCAAATAAACGAATGCCAAAGTCTGTTTAACTGATTTTATTTTAATTACATTTCAACAACCATGCTCTAAAAGGAACCATATAAAACGGAAAAATACTCACAATAACAGGTCACCGGAAGTTTATCGGTATGGAAAACACACTAGCTCGGCATATACCCCTTTACACTATCCGCTTGGTGACGTGTTGGTGACGTATGTAATACTGTTTCCGGGTCCAAGCCGCCATTCATTTGAGTGGAGAAATCATTCGTTTATGATCACGTTTTATTCCTATCACACATTAAAGTTCATTTCATATAAATTCATAGTATACACAACAATCTCTGGGATTGCTGCATAACAAATACCAAAAATTTAACAATTTATAAAAAAATTAATCACTTTCTGGCCATTGTATATTAGGCACGGACATATATACTGCGATCGTGATTTTCGAAAGTATTAAATTGCTTTGTAAACGTTTATTATTACCATTTCATGAGTCTCCCCATACAGTTGAATAGAGCGCTTGGACCCGGAAGCCGCTTCGCGTGACGTCACACTTAACAATCGGATATGCCGAGGCATGCTAATAAGACTTTTAATTTGCCCGTAACCTGGGTTAATCGTTTGCGATGATATGTATGCCAATGCAAAATCGGCGCGTTTAAGGTCAGTTTTCTTTAAAAATCAGCGATCTCCACTGGCTGAGTGATATCCGATGTAAAGTGGGTCTCAGAATGTACAAGAAGCACTGTATTAAATTACATTTTCCCCGCCATGTCTTAATAATATGAGTATTTATTTTACCCCAGTATATTCAATGGAGCTTCTGCACTAGCCTGCCGATTCTGACTGGTGCGTGCGAGTAAACGGCTTTTTGTCTCGTTTTACGCTTGAGCAAATAAACGAATGCCAAAGTCTGTTTAAATAATTGTATTTGAATTACATTTCAACATCCATGCTCTAAAAGGAACCATATAAAACGGAAAAATACTCACAATAACAGGTCACCGGAGGTTTATCAGTATGGAAAACACACTAGCTCGGCATATACCCCTTTACTCTCTATCCGCTTGGTGACGTGTTGGTGACGTATGTAATACTGTTTCCGGGTCCAAGCCGCCATTCATTTGAGTGGAGAAATCATTCGTTTATGATCACGTTTTATTCCTATCACACATTAAAGATCATTTCATATAAATTCATAGTGTACACAACAATCTCTGGGCTTGCTGCATAACAAATACCAAAAATTTAACAATTTATAAAAAAATTAATCACTTTCTGGCCATCGGATATTAGGCACGGACATATATACTGCGATCGGGATTTTCGAGAGTATTAAATCGCTTTGTAAAAGTTTATTATTACCATTTCATGAGTCTCCCCATTCAGTTGAATAGAGTGCTTGGACCCGAAGCAGCTTCGCGTGACGTCACACTTAACAAGCGGATATGCCGAGGCATGCTAATAAGACTTTTAATTTGCCAGTAAAGTTTTAGTAAAGTGGGTCTCAGAATGTACAAGAAGCACTGTATTAAATTACATTTTCCCCGCCATGTCTTAATAATATGAGTATTTATTTTACCCCAGTATATTCAATGGTGCTTCTGCACTAGCCTGCCGATTCTGACTGGTGCGTGCGAGTAAACGGCATTTTGTCTCGTTTTACGCTTGAGCAAATAAACGAATGCAAAAGTCTGTTTAAATAATTGTATTTGAATTACATTTCAACATCCATGCTCTAAAAGGAACCATATAAAACGGAAAAATACTCACAATAACAGGTCACCGGAAGTTTATCGGTATGGAAAACACACCAGCTCGGCATATACCCCTTTACACTCTATCCGCTTGGTGACGTGTTGGTGACGTATATGATACTGTTTCCGGGTCCAAGCCGCCATTCATTTGAGTGGAGAAATCATTCGTTTATGATCACGTTTTATTCCTATCACACATTAAAGAAAATTTCATATAAATTCATAGTATACACAACAATCTCTGGGCTTGCTGCATAACAAATACCAAAAATTTAACAATTTATAAAAAAATTAATCACTTTCTGGCCAACGGATATTAGGCACGGACATATATACTGCGATCGGGATTTTCGAGAGTATTAAATCGCTTTGTAAAAGTTTATTATTACCATTTCATGAGTCTCCCCATTCAGTTGAATAGAGCGCTTGGACCCGAAGCAGCTTCGCGTGACGTCACACTTAATAAGCGGATATGCTGAGGCATGCTAATAAGATCTTTAATTTGCCAGTAAAGTTTTAGTAAAGTGGGTCTCAGAATGTACAAGAAGCACTGTATTAAATTACATTTTCCCCGCCATGTCTTAATAATATGAGTATTTATTTTACCCCAGTATATTCAATGGAGCTTCTGCGCTAGCCTGCCGATTCTGACGGGCGCGTGCGAGTAAACGGCTTTTTGTCTCGTTTTACGCTTGAGCAAATAAACGAATGCAAAAGTCTGTTTAAATAATTGTATTTGAATTACATTTCAACATCCATGCTGTAAAAGGAACCATATAAAACGGAAAAATACTCACAATAACAGGTCACCGGAAGTTTTTCAGTATGGGAACACACTAGCTCGGCATATACCCCTTTACACTCTATATCAGGGATCACCAAACTTGTTCCTGGAGGGCCGGTGTCCTGCAGCTTTAAGCTCCAACCCTAATCAAACACACCTGAACAAGCTAATCAAGGTCTCACTAGGTGTGCTTGAAACACCCAGGCAGGTGTGTTGAGGCAAGTTGGAGCTAAACCCTGCAGGGACAGCGGCCCTCCAGGACCGAGATTGGTGACCCCTACTCTGTATGGTGGAGACTTGATGTCTATATCTCCATCTATATATATATATAAATAACTTTATTTAAAAAAAAAATGTCTTCATCTTTCAGCCCAAGTGTGTTGTTTGTGTAAGTGGGAGTCACATTATGCCTCTCAAAGGATCTTTGGCTGATGTCTATGCAGCACTACAACAGTAAGAAACACAATTTCCCGAACACAGGCATAATCACAATGCATTATTTTGTGTAAACAATTAACAAGTGTTTGTCATTCTCTCTATGCTAAGGAACGTACACAAAATCCGCTACGATGAAAAGATGAGAATAATTTGGCGGGATCTGTTGCTACCAATACCAGATGACCCATCACAGAAGGTCAAGGTATAAAGTCACGCATTTGTTTTGTAATTGATATTAGCGGGTTTAACAGATCATAACTGATCTGTAGTCAGTACAGGCCAAGCCCCACAGTTCATGTCTCATGCAGTCAACTGATTAATTGTATTATTATTCTGATGGTCACTAAAGTGACAAGCCATTTTTAACCAAGGTAATGTGAAAGAGAACTTTTACTTGCTATTTTCTCCCAGACAGTCCATGGTTTTTTCTTCTCCTAAAGTGTATGGCAGCCTTTTGAACAAATTTAGTAAAGGTTTTAAAATCTGGCATACAGGTCGAGGACAATCAGAAGATTAAACACAAAGGGCCCTATCATACACCCAGCGCAGTGTGGCGCAAGGCGCGGCGCAATAGTCTTTTGGTAGTTTCAGCTTGGCGCAAGAGTCGTTTTGACGCGTTGCGCTACACTGTTTAAATAGCAAATGCATTAGCGCTCATTTGCGCGCACATAGGCGTTCTGGTCTAAAAAGGAAGGCGTTCTGAGGCGGACCGCTGGCGCGTTGCTATTTTGAGAAACTAAAATAGATTTTTCATTAGACCAAAACTAACCCGGTCTAAACTCCGGCGCAGAGTTGCACCTCGCTTACACACTGCTTAAAACGCACAAGAGAGCAATAGGCAAATATCTTAACATATGAAAAAATGTAATATTAAAGATATATGTAGGATATAATAAGAATTGATATAGGATATAAATATAAAGGATTAAAATATTACAAAACATATTATTTTATAGCCTACATAAATATGAAAAATCACTGCTTTTATGTCTTGTATCTCGGGAGGCTTTTTCAGTTCATTCATAACAATTTGCTTTTGTATAATGTTATTATTATTAGCAGTATTATTTATTATATGCATATTTATATTTGTTTTATTAAAAACAAGCTTAGATTTGCCCACATGTCAGGTTTTAGACCATATGGGGCACAACATGTGTTTTAGGATATAACTCAGGTTTTTGAGCACATTTTGTTATTATTGTTCATTTATTCATTTGCTGGAAATTATAACGGAATTTAGAAATAGTTTTGAAACGAATATTTGCGCTTAACAAACACAATTAATTATTTATAGACTAATTGATGTCTGTGCGTAAAGGTTTCCCTATCCAAGAGCGAAAGTGAAAGTAGATCCATTATCTCTCATTCTCACGCAGTAGATGCTCTGTTTAACTGTTTTCTGTTAAAAAAACATTAACTGTTAACTGTTTGCTAGTGAAATGCTCAGTTTTTCCACTTAGACTTACTTTGCGTCCTGTAAATAGCGAATGCGAATATGGTGCAACGCAGTTGGCTCTTAAAGGGAATGGGAGATGAGGTTTATTCTCAAAACACACCTTTAACTCATTAAGAAAATAAACTTAACCCTTTTAGACCATGCGCCATGGTGCAAAGCGGATTTTCCCGTCCTTAAATTAGCAAAAATGCGTTCTAACTCGCCCTGAAAGCGTTTGTGCCCTGCGTTTAGCGCTCTGCGCATGGACCGTCAAAATAGAGCCCAATGAGTCTCCAATGGAGTCTCTCTAGTGCATTGGTTCCCAAACTTTTTTTTGCCTGAGACCCCTTTTACCCTGAAAAATATTGTAAGGCCCTCCACATTTAATGATATTATCGCTCATATAAGTTTGCAGTATAAGGTTGTCAAAAAAATTTTTCAAACAAACGGTGTTTATTACTATATCTAGATATGCTTATGCACAAATAATAGCCTCATGTAAAATATAAAAGCAAAACATCAGTAGGCTAATTGTAACTGAAAAATGTAAGCCTTTGGCCTTTAAATTGGCCTTATATTAGTTGACAATTAGTTGCCAATGTTTTAAAGTTTCTTGTCAGTAGCTGTGTCATCTCATTTTGGGTGTGTGTCAATTCTTTTAGAAAAAATGCTCTGGGCTTGTTGCGTATTGGGGATGAGTCGTCTGCAAATGTCTTATTAATTTAGATATGCATTTAGCCCCATGCATTTGTCAGCAAGAACTTTGGTGCACAAAATACACTGAGGCTGGGTCAGAGACTCTTTGCTTCGAGAAAGTGGAGTAAAACCATAGTTCAGGTATCTATCTCAACTATCTTGGTATTTTCTGCATTTCGTGTTTTCAGCATTGCTAGCGCTGTGACCCGAAATGTTTGGAGCTTCCTCATGCTTGGGTCATTCCTGTTTTTTTTTTTTTGTTGTTGAGGATGAATTCCAAATTTGTCTATTTCTTTTGGTCAGCCAAGAGATAAAATGAAGGCAACATGATTGTTCTCTTAATTGTCCACAATTATTATTTTTTTTAATATGACATGACCCCCCACAGAGCTTGCTGGGGCCCCCTTGTGGGCCGCGACCCCTCTGTTGGGAACCACTGCTCTAGTGTACCAACTGTCCTAATGTTGTACTCCTTTTAATGCTGATAATTTTGGAACTCTAACTGTGACTTACTTATCGTCATTATCCAGTTATTTAAATGAAAACAGATCATATTAAGGCGATGCAGACAAGAAGTTTTCTAATAAACAATGATTCATCAAACCATTCTGGAAAGAGCTTGCTGTTGTGAATGTAAGGCTATAAGCTTTTGCATTTTAATAACAAACCTGCCCAAGCAGGTCCTGAATAGTGCCATCTAGTGGTCAGACGACAAGAAAAGCTGTACTTTTATTTCAAATTCTGATTGTTTTGGCCCAAAATTGCTGGTTTCATTAGAATCTGAGCAGCTTACCAATTCAAAAGATACAAAATTTTTCCATAATTAAAAAAAAAATTGCTAATAATTTTGCCAAATTTTTTTTTCTTCAAAACTTTGATTATACTTAACTCGGTGTAATATAACTAAAAGTATGTCTTTGTCATCTCACACTGACCAGACTGTATTAATTTGGTGCCACCTATTGGTCAAATGTGGTAAATCATTAGATCTTATTATTATTCATTCATTCATTTTCTTTTCAACTTAGTCCCTTTATTAATCCCGGGTTGCCACAGGGGAATGAACCATCAACTTATCCAGCACGTTTTTACGCAGTGGATGTCCTTCCAGCCGCAACCCATCCCTGGGAAACATTCTCACAACTCTCATTCACACTCACAGTACAGACAATTTAGCCTACCTAATTCACCTATAGCGCATGTCTTTGGACTGATATTTTGGACCCTTTATTAATGTGAAAAATACTAAATATTGCTATAATAAAGCAGGAAATATCATGAGCTATAAATAGAGCTTTCAATTTATGCAGTGTAATTTCATTTTGCCAGATGAGTGAAATCAAATGCCCTGTTTTACTAATCGCTGGTGAGGATGATCAGAACTGGCCAGCTTCAGAATCTGCAGCAGATGTGAGTCAGTAAAACCAATAATCCTCTTTAGCCTTTTCATTTCATCTTAGACTAGCGTTTTGCGAATCATCACGTCACGAGCTGAAAGCCTGATTTCATCTAATCATCAATTGCCTCCTCCACAGATGAGGAAGATGATGGAGAAGGCTGGAAACAGCCACCTTCTCACTGTCCTCTCCTATCCGGGAACTGGACACCTTATTGAACCGCCCTACAGCCCCCATGTGCGGTTCAGTGACTTCAAGTTATTGGAGGCGAAGACCAAAGGTGAAATAATACAGTTTTTCAAAATTGTCCTTAGACAAAATTGAGTGCTGTTCAATTGTTTTAGGACTACCTTGATGCAAGGTCTTGAACTACTTCAAATGTTGACTATAGTAGATATATAGATAGATAGATAGATAGATGGATGGATGGATGGATGGATGGATGGATGGATGGATGGATGGATGGATGGATAGATGGATGGATTGATTTATTGATTGATTTTCATTGATTTTCATTTGATTGATTTTTGATTGAATTTTTCTTTTTAAAATGTTACTAGAATAGCAAAAAAAAAAAAAAAGCAATTGAATGTAATGCATAGGGCTTTATTGATCGCCTTTAACATTATAGTAATGTGCAGGTAATAGTTTACTACAAGAGCTTTTTATAGACCTTTTTCATGGCTGCTGCATGGAAGGCGCCATAGCGACCAGCGTCTTCCGGTACAATGCTAAAAACTTCCGTTTACAGCGTGTACAACTGGTAATTTGCGCTCCGAAAATGGGTTTCAATGACGTTTTTAATGGATAACAGAGTGTTTTTGTGACACACAACTTAGAAATGTGTCTGTTAAAGCCGTTATAATCTGTCACATGTGGTTCAAGCGCATCAGAAATACGAGAAAAACGTTCCCCTAGGTCACGTGTCTGCCGTCAGAAATACAGTGTGTGTGTGCGTTCCCGGCCTGTCAGCTGTTAGCTCAGCGGCTCTTTAACACACACACACACACACACACACACACACACACACACACACACACACACACACACACACACACACACACACAAACCACACGCAAACCAGAGTACTGGCATGAAACTTAACAGGTATGAAAGTCGTGCAATTTACAAAAATGACCAATAAAAGTCTGTTATTGATCCTCTGCCGGCTGATTTGCTGTTCATTCTAATCGCGAGCCGTTTGTGTTTTATTTCGTGTGTTGTATTCACCACGATTTGTGTTTTTCTGTCATTTCGAAATGACAGTAGCCTATATTTTCACTTTGTCACAGTTATTAAATCAGTGTATCAGTGGCACAGTACAGGCTACGTGTGTGTGTCCAACATTTTGGTGAATTACATTTGTTTGGGCTGGTTATATATTTGAAATAAAGAGAAAATGTTGACTTTAGCGATGACGAGGCTTCATTTCAACTGCTGAAGATGCCGTCTGACAACGAGAGGAAAATGCAGCTGTTTTCCATCCTATTAGATCGCATTTCTTTAAATGATCAGTCCAGGAGATGGTGCTGATGGACAACAGTATTAGTTCAAAGAGGATAAAAGCAGGTAAAATAGATTAAAACTATCGCTTCAAAGCTGTCCAAATGTGACTGTTTACGCGCATCAGCTGCCGACCGGAAGTTCTTCGCATTCTCCTTGCGCATACACGCGAAGCATAATGGGTAATTTTGCGTTCTATATTCTATAGTCTATATTCTTTAGAAAATTGTAATTTAATTGCATTTATTCAATGACTGGGATATAATTGAAGTAAATCACTGTTTATTAAAAAGAAAAAAAAGTAAGAAATTTTATGGTTCAGCCCCATACACTGTTAAAAATGCAGGGTTCCGCGCATTTTATTCATGTTGTCCCATCACAAATTGATTAAGTTAACTTAAACTTAAGTGGACCGAACATAAAACAATTAAATTATCCCCCTTTAAGACGTGAGATATCACAAATATTTCTGTGTCTTTGACAATTCAAACATGAGCCGAAAACAGAGACAATCGGCTCCACAACCCAGCAGGTGGGAATGCGGGAAAAACCAGCTCCCCTCCTTTCTTCCATGTACATCTGAAACATTTCTTAACTCGCACAGAATGGTTATTTCAAATGTTCTAAATCAACCCAAGTGACTTTATCTATCATGTTTGATATCATTTAAAATGTCTCAGTGCGACTGGTACAATGGTCTCAATCCCTCAGAAATAGGCATAATCAGAACAATAAATATATAACTTCAGGTATCTTTTGAACCACTGCCAAGGGTGTGCCTTTCCTATAGGCAGAAACTCTTCCACTAAATGCAAATGCCTTTTGTTATTCTACACACCCCTTTCCTCGAGGGGATTCTTGGAGTTACTACTTAAGAGAAAGTTTCTAAATGTTCGGGCCGATTCTAAACCTAGATGAGCCCATAGTGTGAAGCTCCACGCTATGTCTATTTTGAAGTCAGGTATGCATCTTTTAATCTTGGATTTGCCTTTGATAATTTGATGTCTTGTATTGATCGTTAATGAATTGACTGAATGACTTGGCATAATACACATTTACCTGACTAATAAATTATGTTTTGAATTATTTAGACAGAGTTTGTGTTATTATCTCTAGTAGATTACGTTAAGTCCATAGCACTACAAGCCCCTGTACAGGTTAGTAACAGACTAAAACACGGTAGACGGAGCAGCGTGGCACGTTATACGATGTTCTTAGAGCTCCGACTAACACATTGGCATTAATTCATGTATACTTGGACTGTAAAAGATTATCTAAGGGCATAGACCTTCATCTCTAAACTTATAATACTATTTGGATAGTATAGTGATTACTCGAAGTTATTAATAGTTTAAATACTACTGGTCTGCTTAATTCTGTAGTAATGATCATTATATAACTAAATAGCTCTGTTTGATTTAGGACAGGGTTTGTCAAAGTCTAAGACAGTGGGCCTCCCTTTTGACACAACTTATCCATTGGCGCCCCCCTCCTCCCAAACACGCACGCACACACGCACACACAAAAAGTTCTGGAGGTTTTCCTGCTACCTCATCATGCTTGGTTTCAAGGTGTCGCCGAAGTTTAGCGGGTCTCATGCTGTCATTAGCCAAAATGTCTTGACAAACCACACATAAAGGTCGTGGTTCATCAGCTGGTCCTGTCCACGTAAATCCTAAACTGAAATACTGATCATCATATCGTCGTCTTTTGGGTTTAAGCCCTGAACTTGAAGGCTTTGAATCGGGGGGGGTCTCAGAAACCGATCCATTGTATTAGCAGGCATATACCTGTATTGGTGGGCTTGCCAAACAGAAGCGAATTCACAGCTATGGCATTCTGGGTAAAAAAGGTTTTCTTAGTTTTGACATTTTTTTTTTAGCTTTGTTTAATTAAAACGTTTAAATATAATAAAAAATACATATAATAATTAAACTTAATAATTATATTTTTATTATATAATATTTTCTCCCGCGCCTCCCCTGACATGCTCTGGCGCCCCCCAGGGGAGGCGCGCCTCACACTTTGAAAACCCCTGATTTAGGAGATAGCAGCTCTATGGGGACCGCATAAAAAATATCCTAATCTGAGTAAGTAGGGTTCTGCCTTTTTAGGATAGGGCTCAATCGCCTCTGTTTTGTGACCAAGACTGACACGCTTGTGCTAAGAGATTGTATACTCGGCCGGTACAAGACTCAGGATGTTATATGAATCCGAATGAACGAGAATAATATAATATAACGAACCGAAGAGGATATTCAATCATAATCTAAAAGAATGTTAAAGGAAACAAAATAATCTTATCAATGTTTTATAAATGGAGTCAGAGAAAACGAGGATAAATATATTAATTTTCTAAACCACCTCATGCTAAAATTGGAGTCCGATATGAGTTAAGTTTAAAATAGATCAACATTGTGCACTGGAAAGACCGAACATGCAGTGGACACCTCCATTGGACTAACCGGCTGGACCCTACACCCCCCAAAACTCAAGAATTGTATTGAAGAAGCAGCAGAATTCTTTTTTGAGTGTACCCTCTCCCAAAGATGTACCGAACCGTCATATTTTATGTATTTTTACACTCAATAATAGACAGACAGATGATTTGATAGATAGGCAGATGGTTGGCATGTGTGTTGAATTTGAGGAGGTTTAAGTGACATTGCTTTGTATTACAGTGGTGGTGCTTTGGGGAGGAGAGACGGAGCCTCACAGTCGAGCTCAGGAGGAGTCCTGGAAGAAAACTCTGGCTTTTCTGGAGGAACATCTTTATGGCAACAGCAGAGAAGTTACAAGAATGTGACCTTCATGTGAATATATATGTATGTATATATGTGTGACTCATTGTTGAATTGTGAGTAAAACTCAAATTACCCCCCTCCCCCACCACCACCCCAAGATTGTGAAGCGCTTTGGGTGTATACACAATAAATGCGCAATATAAATACACATTACATTACATTACCTCTCATCACACTTGTGACCGAACACCAGCATACTAATTACCTTCACCTGCGCACACAATCACCAGACAACTTAAACACCCACCTCATTCCTTCACTCCTCGAAGTTGGAGTTGTATGGTTCACCTCATCTTCTCTCCTTCCTCTACACTTCTTCTCACCCCATGGATGTTTCCATTTCGCCTACGGACGAATAACAACTAAATAAGGGAATAAGTAACTTAAGCTTTTCTGGTGTTTACCTGAAGATCTGGTGTTCAGATCGCTCTCCTTCAGATGTTTACCTTAGTGAACTGTTGATTAGATCGCTACTATCTAAAACTCCAATCTCCTGCTTCATCACTCTGATTCAGTTACGTTGTTTTGAATAAAACTCTTAAAAGATAACCATCCTTGTCTGTCTTGTGTGCAACCATGACAAAATCATTCTATTTGCTAAAACTTAAAGTTGTGGCCAAATTAAGACTCAAAATCAACCCATAGTGGATGAAAATATGCCCAACAGCACACAAGGATTAAACCACAGAATTGATGTTTTACACCATTTTGTGCTTGAGCTCATGATGCTAACCTCAAACCAGATACCACATGTCATGTCTAAAACAGATCTCTATATATTTTCTAGCCTGATCTCACGAGGAAACGTAAGTATTTTACGTTTTGCCAGTTTAGTGGCTAATTTGTACGAGTTCAGTTGTACGAAATTCTACGATTTTAAAAAGGAGGAGTGGCAAGTAGCCCCACCCCTAACCCCAACCGTCATTGGGTACTAAATTGTATGAATTAGATCGTACGAATTCATACGAATTAGCCATTAAATCAAAAAGTTACGAATTGCCGTGAGATTGCGTTGGTATTTTCATCATATCACTGTTTTTTTTTTTTAAGTAAATGAGAAATAGCACAGTCACAGAGTTGACATATAATTAATCTACAATTGGTGTGTCCTCCTAAACAGTTTGCACTAATTATTGAAAGAAGAATAAATGTCAGAGGAAGTGACATACTTTAGAGCAAGTCACATATTTTTCGATCAGTGCTTTACAGATTGTTATGCCTTTTTATATCCAATTGTCACCGACTCGGTCCCAGTCATTCCCCTCGCTGGCCAGCAGAGGCCACCATCTCCGGACTTCTAAGCATTACATCATCCATTTACCCCGATCATGCACACCTGAACTGAATACCGCTAATGACCCACGTACCCTTTATAAGCCAGCACCAAACGCTCATTCAGTGCGAAGTCTTGTTTAGCCCCGGCCAGCATTTCTGAGCGTTATTCCTGCCTGACTCCTTGTGTATAACTCCAGCCTGTTTCTTGACTCTGCTTCGCCTTCTACCTGCCCACGACTCACGCCTTGTATACGGACTCTGATACTCGCTGCCTGCCCACGAACCACGCCTGTTATAAGGACTCTGATGTTCGCTACCTGCCCACGACCCACGCCTGGTTCACGGACTCTGATACTTGCAGCCTGCCCTCGATCTATGCCTGGTAATACTCCCTGTGTCTATTCATCGCCAGTCTTGATTCATCATAGACTGTTGTTGTTGTGTGTTTGCACGTTAGTGCATATTGTGTGTGTGAATAAGTGCTTGAGCAATAAATACTGCATAATGGATCCCTCCATGTCAGTCTCCTCGTTACACCAATTTATAGAGTTGCCAAGAATGTAGGGACAGACACGAAATGTATTGTTCATTATTGCTGAAATGACGAGCAATCAACATCCACAGAAGAGAAAGTAAGACAATAATCATGCATTTAAAGCACAGCTTAACCAAAACATCCTATCTTTTTGTTTAGACAACATGTTGAAGGACTGTACAGTTGAAGTCAAAATTATTATTCCCCCTTTGATTTTTTTTTCTTTTTTTAATATTTCCCAAATGATGTTTAACAGAGCAAGGAAATTTTCACAGTATGTCTGATCATATTTTTTCTTCTGGGGAAAGTCTTATTTGTTTTATTTGGGCTAGAATAAAAGCAGTTTTTAATTTTTTAAAATCCATTTTAAGGTCAAAATTATTAGCCCTTTTAAGATATTTTTTCCCTAATAGTCTACAGAACAAACCATCGTTATACAATAACTTGCCTAATTACCCTAACCTGCCTAGTTAACCCTCTCAGGCTCAAATTAATTTTTAGAAACAGGAAAAATCTGATATTTAATATAATTAAATATTTAATATAATTAATAATATTATATAATCTGAAAATTATCATATGGGGTAGTACAATAGAAAACTGACATTTTTTAGAGAGACCTTCACATGCAAGGCGTTCTGGGATGTTGCAGATTTGCAACATTGGCTCAGAGTGGTAATTAGACACTGACGACTGAATATGATATGAGCAATACCTTTTTATATACAATTTTTCAAACAATGTAACAAATTGCTTTTCAGTGGCAGAACAACAACAAAAACAATATGGCATCCTAATCCAATATCTCAAATCCTCATTGAGTAATTCATGTTTCCAAGTCACTTTGTCATGTGGTTCTCCAAGAAACGTTTTTTGTGTGTGTCAACTGGTGAGCAAGTGGGGAAACTGTTTGTTGCTAATGGACAACAAAGTCCTGCAGTGGTACTTCTGAGTAAAAAAAACCCTCAAAAATATGTATCTGGAGTAATAAGGTAGTTATTTTTAACTGTTGCAAATCAGCAACGCCTGCCTTGAGAGGGTTAACTTAATCAACCTAGTTAAGCCTTTAAGTGTCACTTTAAGCTGTATAGAAGTGTCTCGAAAAATATTGTCAAATATTATGTACAGTTATCATGGCAAAGATAAAATAAATCAGTTATTAGAGATGAGTTATTAAAACTATTATGTTTAGAAATGTGTTGAAAAAAATCTGCTCTCCAATAAACAGAAATTGGGAGAAAATAAATAAATAGGGTGGCTAATAGTTCTGACTTCAACTGTATATATTATTTACATGTACTGAAATGAAACAATGTTTTTGGACGAACAAGTTCTTTGTGATGCTGTTATTGGAAATGACTAGCCGACACTTCCGTATCTGTTAGGTGTCTTTTTTATTTTAAATTCCTGAAGTTAATAATCCTTTTGTCGCTAAACATTCCAGTAATTAAAGAGACGCTGCTCAGAAAATCATTGAGTAATTTAGAGGTTCACTGGCCTTTCAATCCTACGCCGTGAAGCCGAGGGTCTGTTAAGCAGCCAGAAAGTGTGCCGTCGTCACGAGCCCCTTGATCGCAATATCAAGAAAATCAATGAAATGTTCATGTGTTTTATTTATTTCATTTTTGTCTAACTTCAATTGATAAGTTCTGTGTTTACTTCTTTTGATAGCCCGAAAACTGTCACCATCTCCCACAGCGGCGCGGATCAAAGCCCCGACGTGTGTGAAGCTGCTGCCAGAATCAGAAAGGCCTGCCAGAACATCTGACACCAGTAAATCTGCATCCACAGCATTAGCAGATTCACTACATGAAGTTATTGATGTCGACGCCAGACACTGATGATAACATTTGTCTCATTTGTCCGTGTGCAGAATGAAAGCGATATCAGGAGTGACACGGCTGCTAATCACAGCTGGTTATTTCCTGGGGGGAAAAAAAAAGTTGGGTTTCTACAGAGGAAAATAAGCTCATAACATCTGAACACAATGGGGGAAAAAAAACTGTTGTTGTTTTGGAGCAGGTTGGGACCACATTGCATCAGATTTTATTGCGTCACATATTTTAAGTGTTATACATTAACACAGAATCACAAACAATATTGTTTATGTAGGAACAAAGGCATTTATTTTTATTACTTTTGTGTCTTTATTTTTTATTAGAAAAATGGTTAGACTTACAACATATTAATCAATCTTTTTCTGTTGTATAAAAGCACATTTGACCTGACACACTTCCTCTTTTTTTACTGTGCTGCATACTTTTTAGAAGAACTGCTGACTAGTGGAAAAAGCGGTATAAGAACAAATTTAGGTTTGTTCCAGACTGCTGTCTGGACATGTCCCAAGTTGACATGATCTTTGTAGAAGTTGTGAAATATATTAAAAATGTACGTAATTGTTCAGTTCTGTATGCAGAGAAGGGTTGCGGAAAGAGGAAGTATGTCTAGGGGTTACAAAGAGCCAAAGGACTGCAGAATGACTGATATGTGACGTTAAACCAAAACTTCACCTGTTAAGATCAATTGTGTATGTATGCTAGAGTCAGGAAATGTATGTTAGTTGCGAACCTCTTGAATGTAATTCTTGCATTGCGTTGGGGTAATGTAACCCAGAGCTCTGTCATCGAATTATTCATTGGTATCTAATAAATTACTAATATTTTTGGCATTGAAGAAAACCCTCTCAAGACCTTTTCTTATTCAACACGCATGGAATTGGCTTGATATTCCAACATTTACAATATCACAATTACAATACTTCAGTCTCATAAACTATATAAAAAAATATGAATTATAAATTGTAATCTATACAAATTGAAAATGTATAAATGTGTCATTTTATTAAATAACTAATAATAAATGTGTCATTTTATTATAAATATAACTTATTTTGGTTATTCATTCATTTTCCTTCGGCTTAATCCCTTTATTAATCAGGATATTAATGATCCAGCTTATGTTTTACGCAGCGGATGTCGTTCCAGCTGCAACCCAGCACTGGGAAACATCCATACAGTACATACACATACATATGGCCAATTTAGTTCATCTAGTTCACCTATACCACATGTATTTGGACTGTGGGGAAACCGGAGCACTCGGGGAGAACATGCAAACTCCACAATGAAATGCCACCTGGCCCAGCCGGGACTCAAACCAGCAACCTTCTTGCTGTGAGGAGACAGTGCTAACCACTGAGCCACCGTGCTGCCCATTTTGGTTATATAAAGTATATTATTTTTAAAACTTCTCATTAATTAATATGATACATATTAAAAAAATATAATCCCTCGAAGCAGAGGAAAAAACATTAATCCTGCAATTATTAATATTAATGAAACCATTACAACACCATTTATTACATCAATTATTAATTTTATTTTAATACATTTATACAATTTTCAACAATAATATTTTTTGTAAATTATATTTTTACTGAAAAGTGATATTTTGTTTTTATAAAATCAAGAATAACTTTTTTTATTAATTAATTATTAATTTTAAATATTTTATGGATATTTTATAAATACAACATAAAAATGTAATGATTTTAAATTAATTTTGCTAAGAAGTTACATTCATAATTGATTTTAAATATTAAATATTTAAAGTGGTAAGATAACATTTTGTTGGTTAGTTTAGTTTATTTAAAATGTGATATTGCAGCACAATTCCCTGAAATACGTCAAACACTCGAAACATTATTTGACTAACAAAAATACATATACAGTTAAAGTCAGAATTATTCGCCCCCCTTTGAATTTTTTTTTTTTTCAAATATTTCCCAAATGATGTTTAACAGAGCAAGGATTTGGATTTGTTTTATTTTGGCAAGAATAAAAGCAGTTTTTAATTTTTTAAACACCATTTTAAGTTTAAAATTATTAGCCCTTTTAAGCTATATTTTTCTGATAGTCTACAGACATGCTAGTTCATACTAGAATCATGCTAGTAACATGCCAATTTATACTAGAATTATGCTAATAACATGCTAATTCATAGTAGAATCATGCAACTAACATGCTAATTCATGCTAGAATTATGTTAACAACATGCTAATGCATGCTAGAATTATGCTAATAACATGCTAATTTGTACTACAGTCATGCTAATAACATGCTAATCCTTGCTAGAATCATGCTAATAACATGGTAGGTTCATGCTAATTTATGCTAGAATTATGCTACTAACATGCTATTTATACTTTTTTAAACTAAATAAACTATTACCAACAGGCTTTGACAAGCCAGCCTCAAAGTTTGTCTCGACGAACTTTACTGTCTAGTTATACAATAACTTGCCTAATTACCCTAACCTGCCTAGTTAACCTAATTAACCTAGTTAAGCCTTTAAATGTCACTTTAAGCTGTATAGAAGTGTCTTGAAAATATCTAGTCAAATATTATTTACTGTCATCATGGCAAAGATAAAATAAATCAGTTATTAAAGATGGGTTATTAAAACTATTATATTTAGAAATGTGTTGAAAAAATCTGCTTTACGTCAAACAGAAATTGGGGAAAAAATAAACAGCGAGTCTAATAATTCAGGGGGGCTAATAATTCTGACTTCAACTGTATATATATCATAATAAACAAAGTAAAAACAATAATTTAACAAACAACAAACATTCTAAATTATCACTCTAAATTATCTATACAACAATTTGAGAGCACAAGAAATAAAGGGGATTTCATGACGTTTAGTTTTACTCCTGGGTATAGTAAATGTCTTATGTCGCTGAAGTAGGTAGAGTGACACTGGAGCTTAGGCAGAAAACGTTCTGCCTAACAAACTGTCATTGAGTATTTTAATAAGAGCATTATAGTTTGTATGGTGGCTTCCTTATGCCTTTCACTCAGTGTTGGAAAAGTTGAAGACGGAATACCGGAATTTCATACATTTTATAAAAATTCGAAGGATGTTTTTAACATACTGTTCAAAGCACAAAGTATAATAAATACATATTTTGTATTCATTTTATATTTTTATTACAGTAATTTTAAACTATTTTAAAATACTTTAATAAAAAATACAACTACTGTATGTTTTATATGCTTTTGTCCAAAGTGGCTTACAATCAAGGAGGCATTCGGTAATTTAATAAGAAGAGGCAATACACACAAGTGCTAACTATACAAAGGAACTGTTAGTGCTCCAAAAATGAAGTGTACTGGCCAAAACAATTGTGTGGAGCCCGGCATTTTTGACAGCGTATGCTAGACTTACTGTGAGTTGAAATAATATTCACGTATAGTTCTTTTGCTACTTTATTTTTACCCCTAATTTTTAAGTCACTTTGGATAAAACCATCTCCCGAATGAATAAATATAGAAACGCGTAGCTGCATCTAATATTAATTCGACCAAGCAGGGCATTTATTATGTTTCAAGCATGAGCTTTCGCGGCAGTGATTTTGATTGATACATTTGCATTTAGGCTGGTCTGCGAACGTCTCCAGATGCCAGAAAGAGCCTCAAGGGGCAGAGAGATGTGTTGGCTTTGGTTGGTATGTGCTTGCTAACCACAGCTGTCGACTCTGAGATCATAAAAATCTGCCTTCGGAGAGTTGAAATGTATTTCTGTGATTTGTGGCCCAGATGCGTCATGTTTATCAGTTTCAGCCACTGGGGTGAATTGCATTCCGGCAATCATTTGGAGCAATAATGAAGGTGATTTTTGAGAGATTCTACTCCTAAATGTGCTTTAAGATGGCTTTTACCCCTTACAAAATGAGTGGCTCTTTTGATAGAGAGGTTTGAAATTGTATAGTATTTCTACAAATGCATTTGTAAGTAAAATGTTAAAATAACACCCACACAAACATGTCAGATCAGAACCACTGTTTTATCTGCAGTTTTTTTCCATCAGGATTAATAATCTCAGTTTTAATTGAGGAAACTATTCAAACGTCTTTCAGAGGGGCTTGTGTGTGATTGTAAATGACAAGGAATGGAGAATGTTTGAAAGCTAGGTATTTTTATTTGCCGTGAACTGACTTTTAGACATTTTAACCCCCGTGAAAAGATTATGAGAAATTCTTTGTCTACTTTTACAGAGGCATGTAAAAAAGTGAAATATAAAAATCCATTTATTTCCTTAAACTGGAATGAAATATACCAAAAATGTATATTATTTACAGTAAACTAAATCAATTATTAATGTAAAATATCTAAATATGATAGGGTGCATTTCGGTTATTTGTAGTTTAAGTTATTGTTAAACTTTTTTACTTTTTTAATGCTAACCTGCCACCAGATACCACATGACATGTCTAAAACAGAATCATTTAGAGCTAAAAGGCTCCTATCATGCAAAATCAACTTTTGGAAGCTGTTTGGACCGAAATGTGTGTACCCTACTGAAAAAAACAGCTTAAACCATTTCCAGCCAGGTCTTAGCTGGTCAGGCTGGGAGATGACCAGCTAAAACCAGCTTGACCAGCCTAGCCAGGCTGCGAGCCCAACCAAAACCAGCTATGTCCAGCTTAAACCAGGCTGATCAAGCTGGTTTTAGCTGGATTTAGCTGGTCAGTTTACAGCCTGACCAGCTAAGACCAGCCTGGAAATGGCCAAAACCCCTCTAAAACCAGCCTGGCTGACCAGCTAAAACCAGCCAACCAGCCTAGGCTGGTTTAAGCTGGATTTTTCTGCAGGGTAGTAATAGTGTTTACACTGGATTGGTGTAAACCAGGGACGTCGCTAAACCAAATTTACTGGGGCACGTGCCTCAGTAAAAATCGCCAGTGCCCCAGTAAATGCTTTGAGATATGATTTACTTCATATGCAAAGTGTATTTATTAAGAGTGGTAATCGCGGAATGGGACGTTATTCACTATGTGCAATCGAACTACCGCTGGTAAAAGCAATGTAGTTTAATCAAAAAGCAAACTGACGCATTTTGTGAGCAGAAAACAATAACCGGGTGCAGGTGCCTCACACACCGCTCCTACTGGGCCCTGCTTGACGTGTTGCTCTTCTCCCGGTGCGAGTCCAGGTTGTTAACACCTGCGCCGAAAAAACATGCTGCTCACGCGTCACTCATGCGTTGTGAAACCGACCGGCCTTTAATGTGGAGGTGACGGCATGCAGTGAGTTTTGCAAGTGGACAGTTTAAATAATATGCTGGTGATCTTAAGCATGCCTCCTGATAGATTTTTTGTATGAAATATAAAGGAGGGATGACGAGTCAGGGAGGTAAGACTTAATAAACCTTATTCTCTGCCATGCGACAAGTCTAAGACAACAGATAATTCTATAAAACATCTTTTTTTGTATTCTATAGTATTCTATGTATGTCTGTAGAAATTCATTCTAATTAAATTATTATTCATGCGAAAGATTTTCAAAATTATTTTAGCACTAGTTGTGTCTCTATGTTGTTTTCTATTTACATTTAGGATTAATTTATATATGTGTATATATATATATATATATATATATATATATATATATATATATATATATATATATATATATATATATATATATATATATATATATATATACATACAGTTGAAGTCAGAATTATTAGCCCCCTTCAAATTTTTTAAATCTTTTTAAAGTATTTTCCAAATGATGTTTAACAGAGCAAGGAAATTTTCACAGTATGTCTGATAATATTTTTTCTTCTGGAGAAAGTCTTATTTGTTTAATTTAGGCTAGAATAAAATCAGTTTTAAATTTATAAAACACCATTAAATTATTAACCCCTTTAAGCTAAATTTTTTCTCGATAATCCACAGAACAAACC